AGGACGGAATTCCTTTTAAGGTGGGTAGACTGTAATGCCCCGTTTATTTGTGATATATTTGAGATTATTTGTTTATTAATTTATTTTATTAATATTATTATAATTGCTAATATTATTATTATTATTATTACTATTATTATTTGTCTAATTGTCTAAATTGTTTATTATTATTGGCCAAGTTGATATCATTATTATTATTATTGTTATTGTGAGTGCTAAATAGCTAATTGCAATTAATTGTCTAATTGATTATTATTATATTATTATTATTATTATTATTAGTATTAATATTTATATTAAATGTCTAATTTACCTAATTGTTAATGTGTTTTTAAATGTTTATATATTTATAAATATTATATGTTGTATTATATATATATAAATATTTCGGTTATTTATTATTGTTGCTCGATTACGTATGTTAGTCATAGCGTTATATTATTTGCGAATAATATAAGGTTAAATTGTTTCGTTCGATTTAATTTAATTAAGTCGTTCAGAAAATTTAGTGTATTATGTTCAACTAGATTAAACTCGAATTCTATTTTTCTCGCGAACCGTTTCGAGCCCGAGTCCCGACCCTTATTATTTTCACCCGCAGCTTTGATATATGATTTCCGGCCCAAATAGCTTGCAATTTCGGCCCAATGATTTAAGCCCTAATTTTTTTTATGTTATTTAAGCCCTAAATTAAGCCGAGATTAAACCTAAATAATCCTTAACAAATCCCTCTCGCAGCTTTTTCTTGTTCTCGATCGATCACCACCACCATAATATCTCTATCTGATCTCCCTCAACTTTCGATCTCTCTCCCTCTATTATCGTCCGCACAGAGATCAGAGAAAGAAGAAAACTCGCTCCAATCGCCGTAGAGAAAGATAATTCTCGCTAAATTCTTGTTCCCAGCCTCGCCGGTGAAACCTTGAGCAGCGCAGGACTCCCGCGAGCAGCACCTCATCGTCGCCCCTGTCCACCATCCCGCCGCGAGCAGCATATTCCGATGACCCTCCTTCCAGCAGTGACTCCCGGTAACCCTTCCTCCGCTGACCCCATCGCTGCCATGCCCTGCCACCGTGAGGCGCAACCGGCGAGCTTCCCCTCGTCGTTCTGTTTTTCCAGCGACTACCAACATCCTCAGCGAGTTCCCTCCGACGAGCAGCAACGAGTCACGAGGTCCCAGTGGGTCCCGCTGCACGAGAAGTTCAGACCCGACGTTCCAACTGTCTCCTCTCGATCATCATCACCGGCGAGCACCGGCGATCGTCCCAACCAGTTGCACCAATCATCGCCGACCATCATCAACCACCAGCGGCCACCATCTCCTCTGTCAACATTCAACTTCGGCTTTCGGGACCCGTCGAGTTCCGTCGAAGAGCCTATCATGATCGTTGAGTTCCGTCGGATTCCGTCGGAGCGTTAAACGAAGCCGACTAGTTCCGGATGCCGAGCCGCCATTGTCGCCACCTTCTTCCTAAACGCAACAGCCGTCCGTCAACCCACTCCGGCGACCAGCAGCCTCCGTCGAGCCCCGTTAGCTGCTGCTACTCCTCCGCGTGAGACGAAGCGAAGCCGTCGAACTTACTAATTGTACCGTTCATCCCTTTCGTTCCGTTGGTTTTCGATTATTCCTCGAGAACGGTACTTGCAGTCGATCTCCACTCGTTTATCAATTGATTTTTTGTTTAAGTGCTCGAATATATATTGTTATTGCTGACCGTGTACTTTTTGAATTAATCATGTGCGTTCAGAATGCTTTCGTGTGTAATTAGGATATATTGTTAATATTGGGTATCAAAGTGATTGCCGTCACTTTGAAAATTATCTAACTGAGTGTCGAGTAGTATTTTATGTGGAAGTGCTGTGGATTATTGGACTTAGGATCGTCCTTGACGCAACGCCTTTGGCCTCGCGTCGTTTCGATGTGTATTAAATTAGTTATGAATTTTTGAAAAACATGCTACAGCCGTTTTTTGTAAAAATCACTATAAATCGTGTGTTTATCCAAAAATTCTGATTTTTGGGTATGTTGTAATGTTGTAATTGTAGTACTTGTGGTTAAAATTTGAGAATTTTATATGACCTGTAGCCTTGTAAAAACTTGAAAACTAATTCTGGGCTGTTTCGTAATAAATTCATATAAAATCGAGTTCTTGTCCGATTTTGCTAATTTTTGAATATGTTGTTTTTCTCTAGGTTATATTGCTGCTGAAAAATTTTAGATTTAAATTCGAGCTGTAGCTATTTTAAATGAGTTAATTTGATTTCTGGTCAAATTTTGGGTAAATTATTTAAAATAGTTAGGAGCATGTTAAATGGTTTTCCTTTGGTGAAAATATGTATTTTTCAGCCCTTAACACTCAGTAAAAATTTGAATTGAAATAACCAAGTCCAACTCCCCTTATCCCTATTCTTATAAAATTCGAACTAGCCTTTTTAACCGTTTTGACCCGTTTTGTGTCGAACATTTATTGTCTGCCTTTATGTGATCTATTAATTGATTTGGTAATTAATTGGTCGAGTCTAGGAGTCGTCCTAATATTCCAACTCCACAACTTCCACGAGTTCCTTAGTCGATGTTATCTCGTTATCTGTGCAAGAGTCGAGATAGTTGCTTATGGGACTGTCTTGACTTATGTAGGTGTCTGAACAGCAGTGTCTCGACCACCTACGACCTTCTGACTAATTGCTTTATCAACCGATACCAGGTGGGTTGTAATTGTAAAATTTATATGCCTTAAATGTTATTACTGTTTTAATTGTGGTATGATCAAGGTATGCATGTGAATCATGTAGCCTTCGGTGTGAGTTGTATCGGCCACCAAACGGTTATCCCCGTAGCTATAGAACGTACCTGTTGGGTAGTCTCCCTTGAGAGCCGTAAGACCAGGGCGTAGGTTCTGGATGGTGATCCCCAATTGTAAGACCAATTCGTAGGTTTTGGCCGGCGGGGTGGTTTACTCCTACTGGCTGGGCATCGTTGTAAGACCAAGTCGTAGGTCTTGGCGTTCGAATCGAGTATCAGCAGTAGTCTATGCGTAGGTGTGCACATGAGTCTGATTATTGATTATTGATTATTGACGGGAGATTGGGATAGATAATTGTTTCGGATACATGCTGAGACCATACTTATTGAGTTATGATTACTGTTTCAATATTGTGAATAACATTTATTGCATAGTGATGAGCACCACGGATTCCAATTGTGCTCATCCCCACCTGCTCTTCATGGATGCAGGTTAGAATTGCGGGAACGACGAAGGGATGCGAGTGGTGGTCTTATCATTTATTATTACTTCTGCTTGTTAAATTGATTACTGTTATTATTGAACATTGGATTATTGTTAAGGAGTGTACTCCTTGGATTTGGAAATTTGAGAAACCTGTTTTGGGTATTGGATTGAGGATTGATGATTCATGATTGATTATTGGGATTTGAAACTATTATTGATTATTCAAATTTTGTTAAGTATTGATGAACGATTTGAAAATGAGTAGCGCCTCAAGAGATTTTGAAAATAAATTTGAAAAATTTATTCTGATTTTCGGCAAATAAAAGTGGGGCGTTACAGTTTGGTATCAGAGCAGGTCTACGTTTCTGTAGACTGCTTAAATTTGAATTATGTGCATATATGATTATTTGAGTTAAGCATCGACCACTCGTCTTCGTCGTACCGCGCCGCTCAAGGTATGTAAGTCATAAGTATATTTGATATCACTTATG